TTAATTTTTTATTTATGTATTTATTTTATGAATGAGTGCTCTGCATATGTATCTGGAAGCTGGAAGAGGGCTTCCTATTACAGATGGCTGTGAGGCAACATGTGATTTCTGGGAATTGAACTCTGGAAGAGTAGCAAGTGCTCTTAATCCCTGAGCCATCTCTCCAGCACCCAGTGTTTATAATAGTTTTATAAACAAATTCTCAGACATTCAGTTGAGTGCCAGAGACATTGCTCAGGGGGTAAAGGTAGGTGATTCTAAGTCTGATGACTTAAATTCAAGTACCTGCAGTTCACCTGAACTCAGCACGAAACTACGGAACAAAAATATTGTTTTGTGTCCTCAAATCTCTTATTAATTTTTAATATTTTGGTCACCCTTCTACCTGAGATACAGGACTATCACTCCACTCCACATTTTGTAATAGGCTGTGCAAACTAAGCACCTTGTATCCAGGAGGAGGAGGGGATGTGTCTAAGGAGTGCTGGAAGACAGAAGAATCAACTATTGGAGGCCAGGTGTGAGAGCTATTGAAATGCAAATCTGTGCAGACCTGGGAAAGGTCTGGGCCTGGCTGGAAAGCCTGGGCCAGAACCCATTGTGTTGAGTCCTTGAACACACTCAAGCCCTAAGGGAGGTGCTCCTGTCACTCAGACCTCACTAGCCAATCAGGATCTCCAGGCAGACCACCGGTCAGAGGGGGAGGAGGGCTCTTCCAGGCTCCATGTTGCAGGCTAGGATCCACAGCTGAGCAAGCAGGAGTGGTTTGGAGTTCTGTGCTGTGACCTCTGCTGAAAGGAGCTGTGTGGAGAGAGTGGAAGAACTTGGAACAGCGACATGGTGAGTGAGGTGCTGCTCTGCTCAGATGGGGAGGAGTAGACGCCTTAGCCTTGAGAGCCACGTGGTGGATCCTCCGCAAATGGGAGGGAGCAGGCAGGCAGAAATGGCATCTTATAAAGTCCTTGTAACTCCCTGGCCAGGGCAGAAGCCTGTGAATAATGTTCCTGTGGGGGCTGCATCTGCTTAGAGCACTAGGGGCAGGGGGAATGAATGTGGGTGCAGTAAAGAAACCAAACTTGCAGCTCCGTGAGTCAAAAAGGAAAAGTTTATTACAAAAGGTCAAGGCTATGTGCTGGGAAACTATCAAGAACAAGAAGGTAGATAGACACAGTTTAACAAAAGTTGTATTTTATTATGCTGAGGGTCCTCACAAGGTTCACCTTCCAAATTCCTAACTGCAGGGCTAAGCCTATCTCCCCAAGGCTGCTCACCTGTGCCGTTCATCCATCTCATGAAAGTCAGGTCCAGTCTCTAACAGAAGCGTCTGATTCAAAAGTCTTTGATTCAAGCATCAGTATCCTGGGGGAGACTCTCCAGCCACAGGACAGATCAAGGTGACGTCTCACCAGATGAGCAGAGTAGAGCATTTGCTCTTGACCTCTGCTAATATACTGTCCAGTGGGTGTCAGCAGGTTCTAGGACTGTGTCTGGTTATCTTTAGAGAGTGATATCACTGAATTCTGCATATCTGGTACAACCTTGGGTGTTGGGGGCATCCTGACTAAGATGTCTTTACATGCCTAAAAAGCAGTTTTTACTTTGCTCATCGGAAAAAAGCAAGGGGAAGACACAGGAGATATTTCCAGTGATAAATGAGAACAGAAGAAAGGGGTTTGTGAGCTGGGGTGTGGCTTATGAGTAGCGAGCCTAGAGGCTGTCACTGACCTTGACAATTTTTTTGTTTTGTTTTGTTTTTGGAGACAGGGTTTCTTCGTGCAGCTTTGCGCCTTTCCTGGATCTCACTCTGTAGACCAGGCTGGCCTCAAACTCACAGAGATCCACCTGCCTCTGCCTCCCGAGTGCTGAGATTAAAGGCGTGCGCCACCACCACCTGACTGACCTTGACAAATTGATAGGTACGCAGTCATGCCATTAGAAGAGCCACATGTACACCTTACCAGAGATAAAGAGTTTGACATTTTTTGTGTTTTTTGTTTTTGAAAGTAGGAATTTTCTTCAATCCCTTGAGGAAATGGTGGCCTTTATATAAATATCTGACCTTGGGAAAAGGAATTTCTTGGGTGACCAGAAACAGGGGACTGTGTGTAGAAACATCTTGGTTATTAATGGCACCGTGCATTTGGTTTCTTGGAAGACAGGTGGCCGACTTGGAAAAGCCTAGTTTCTTTGTTGTCTTCTAGAAGTTCTGCACTTCACATTTAATATGGAGGTATAAAATCTACGTGGAGTTAAATCTTTGAGATATTAGACAGCATCTCATGTGTTGGATAGTACTCCACTTCTACGCTGTAATATAGAAGAGTAGACCTGATGATGTAAAGGATTTACCAAAGCTTAGGAGAAAGTAAGTAACATAAAATAAAATTGAGCTAAAGGTGGGCTGACTTTAAAATACCCTACAGATAAGTACTAGGCTAGCCAGGCCTGTTAGGGATTAGGATGCTAGGACATAACGATGTTCACCAGGACTAACCAGGCATGTGGCTGCAAACCATAACAAAAGAGAGAACCCTGATCCAAGAGCAAGCCTCTGAGAAGGTGCTCAAAGAGGATTCCAGGGTCAAAACAGATGTTAAGGGCTGATGTTCCATAAACTTCCATTCCCACAAAAAGTATAGTTCTGCGAAATGGGCAACATGACACTGGGTGACAGTTATTACAAAAGGATAAAATGGTGTGTTGAGGGCTGGCCTGTTCAAGTGAGGCTTTCCATGAGGCTCTAATGTATGCAGAGGGAACATAGCTCCTTCTCAAACCTTGGAATATGCCTGTAGAGCCAATAACGGCCTGCATCCTAGCCCTTGGCAGGTTTCCCTAAGGCCCTGAGGTATAGAGCAAAATCAGCTCCTTCTTTGAAACCAGGAATATGCTTTGGAGAGCTGGTAATGGTCTGTAGCCAGGGCCTTTGGGGAGGGGTTGCTTCAGATCCTGAGCACTCTAACTCTCCCAACCACATGGGTCGTTGATTATGAGTCCCAAGGCTACTGTGGACTTGATCAGTAATATTTTGGGGACACCCTATGTTTTCTTTATGCCACACGGTTTGCTCAACCTCCTCCTGAATCTTTCCCACTGCATGAGAGTTTCTGTTGACTTCATAGAAGCTTCCCATTTCCTTACATTTCAGCCCTAGAACTGTATACACATGCTATTCTTCTTAAGAAGCTTGCTTGGCATAAGATAGATTGTTCAAGACCTTCTTACCTCAGGTTGTATCTTTTCTTTCATCCCATCTTCCTTGGAACCTCCCTGTCGGCACCGGGTCACTGAAGGATGAGCTTCAGTTCTCGCCCACTTGTATACTTAAGAAATAATTCTGGGAATAACTTTGCTGTGTAAATCTCCCATCTGCCTAAGTGGGTGGATTGCAGTCTCCTTTCCCTGCTTAAATTGTTCAAAATATAACCTGGGGCCTGAACCGAAAAGAGGTTTAAGGACGACAGCATACATGAAATGCAAAATCTGTTCTAGCTTGGCTCCTTGTTGAGCAGTAGCCAGAAGGCTGTGCACACTCTTATTAAAGAGATTCCACTTTATTAATCTTTGAAGTGTGTGCAGTGTTCTCTCCCTGGAAGCACATATTAATTCCAGAACAGTTGCACCTCTTGCCTTTTCAAAAACTGTTTCTGTTACAAGCTCTGTTACACTGACTTGGGTGAATTTGACACCAGTCTGTAGCTCCTCAAGGAGTGACCTTGCTGATTAAACCTCCTAAATACTTAAACTGAAGGGCAGTACCACTATAGTTTTAAAACTACCTACTTGAATCATGTAGTGGATTGTGCATTGCAGAAACAGAAAATGGACTTGCATGTGGAGCATGGTTTTTGCCTTCAGCACAGAACAGGAGAGTCATCTATGTTGTACACTAAAGGGGATAACAGGGTAGGCAATAGCTAGAGCAGAGACTGCTGTTTAAGGCAGTCCACAACAGTCTCCATTAAGAAGAAGGACAAGATTGGGGCAGACTGAATGACTTCCTATGTAATTTCCCAAGGTGTATTAATTCATGCCCTGTGAATGAAACCATCCAGATTGGGGGTGTACAATTTGCAGAGGGTAGCTTGAGCCAATGAATATTGAATTTTTAATGAAGGAACTCTCCTATGCAGATATGAGCAATTCCTCTTGAAACAGTGATGTCAGCTAAGAAGTTTGAGACACAAGCTACTGACGGGCTGAAACTGTGTTAGATTACAGAATTCAGCAGCTGACATTGTGAACAGGGATGAGGTCAGTCAGTATCAAATTAATGATATTCCCTAGAGATAGAGATGGGCCAGATTGGAAAAAAGGAGGATTTGGTTTCTTTTTTTGGGGGGTGGGGGGGTTGAGACAGGGTTTCTCTGCGTAGCTTTGCGCCTTTCCTGGAACTCACTTGGTAGCCCAGTCTGGCCTCAAACTCACAGGGATTCGCCTGGCTCTGCCTCCCGAGTGCTGGGATTAAAGGCGTGCACCACCACTGCCCGGCGAGGATTTGGTTTCTATAAGATTTGGACTTTGCATTCCACATTCAGGTTTGTTTGATAAATTTTACAAATAGTTTAGAAAGTGGTAGAAAGTATGTGATGGGATTCATCCTTCAATGATTGAATACTTGACTCAAGTGTCTTTCACTTCCTGCTTCCTACAGCCACAACAGTGTGATTCAGGGAAATTCAGTTCCAGGGTACAGAATGGGTTTATGAGCTGCAATGACTTCTCGGGTGTGCATGGTTTGGGGCAGGTGGTTCGGGCAATTGCTAAATCTTGTGCCATAGTCAGTGTGGTAGGAAGCAGACATTAGATTTTTCTTCAACATGGTTTTCTGTGTGAGATGCAGTTGGGATGGATTGGCAGGGAACCACAAGAGGCTGTTCCTTCAGCCACCCCAAAGCGAACGGTCCCTGCCAACCCAGACTCAGTTTTCTTCTTCTTGCCACCCCCACCAGGGTCTGGGACTGGAATGTAAAGAAGTTGAGGTGGAAGGGCAGTGGCAAATGAGTGCTCTGCTGGCACTCACCGTCAAGGCAGAAGGTCCAGAGCGAGGGCCTCAGATGAGCTTGGCCATAGAACGCAAGGTCTGTGGGCTCTTGAGAGGCCTCACCCACTGCAGCTCAGGTTCAGTTTGGGATTTGTCCAGACCGACAGAATCTGACCTACTGCACTGATTTTCAGTTAAGATCAGGCCTTGACCTACTAATCCTAGTAGCTTCATGCTGTTCAAATGTTCATATCATAGCCAACCAGTACCAAAGAAGGTCTACAGAGAGATCTGCAATCTGTAGGTGACTCACATGGAAAAGCTGACCTCCCTCCTGGCCCGAACCTGGGCTTTTATCACTAGAATTCTCTTATTCTTCTTAATTCTTCATTTCTGTAATGGGCAGAACCTCCTACTTCCAACTCTCCAACTGTATCTCCACAAATCTTATCCTACCTCAGTTTCTTTTATCTCTGAATGAAAGTTTCTCATAAGACACTGCAGTCCTTAGCTCAATGCACCAGGCACTATTGGTCAGGGAGGTAAAAATCACTGGTTTCTGTATAAGGTGCTAGGACAACCTTTACCAGTTCTTAATGTCAATTGGTAGTTATCTCCCTTCAGTCTTCAGGCCACACTGGTGGAAATGACCTTTCTTTCAGGGTTAGTGTGAGGATCATACAGTCCAGTGATGTGGAAACATTCAAATCTGTGTTATAATTTCTGAGAATGAGAAATAGAGTGGGTGAGTGTATTGACTTGTAGGCATGTTCCAGAACATGGGGACATTTTAAGCAAGATTAAATGCATTTTTTACCATTGGATAGTTATAAGCTTATAGTGATATTGATTAGAATATAGTCTATTGGTTGAAAATCCTCTCGGATAATACGATGTATTTGAATCCTTATCTCTCATTGGTGGGTTTCTTTAGACTGCTTATGGATATTTTAGTGTTCGGAGCCTTTCTTGGGAAGTTCCTCACTGGGGAAGGTATTTGTGTGTCTGTAGCCTCACCCCTTATCCTGTTCTTTGGGTCTACCTTCCTGTGGTTGACACTGATCATCCAACTTATTTCTTCTGCTATCATGCCTACACCACCATTGAAGATGAGACCTCTAAATTACATAAGATACAGTAGGAACAATTGCTTTTTATTGCTAAGTCATTTTGCTAGACTGATGGTTTTGTTTGTTTGTTTTTCATTTTTAAAATGCAACCTTTTTTTCAAGGACAGGGATTCTCTGTGTAGTCCTAGCTTTCCTGAAAATAGCTCTGTACACCAAGCTGGCCGAGAACCCGGAAATAGGCATGCCTCTGCATTCCAAGCGCTGGCATTAAAGTATTCACTACTACACCCTGCTTATTCATTTCTGTATTATTGAATGATTGGCCTAGAATGCATGCTTTTGTGCGTTTCAAGCATATGCTGTTGTGCTGAGCTTCACCCACATTTTGACTTTTGAGTGTTGTTAGAGGATATCATTCTATACTGCTAGATGACATAGATCCATGATCTTAAGACTGCATGAGCCTTCGGAGTCATGGGGTGACAGGTGTGTGACACTCTTGCCACCTTTTCTGTAATTTTGAATTTTTTTGAATAAATAAGATTTTTTTTCCTGTAAGCACAGATACATACTATAGGGGTGACTGATGCTCATGGCAGTCTGAGATGGCCTCAAGACCTCTGAACTTGGAATTATGAATAATTGCGAGCTGCCATGAAAGTACTGGCTATTGAACCTACCTCGTCTGCAAGACCAACAAGTGGAGTGGTCTTAACTACTGAAGCTTCTCTCCTGCCCTGTGCTATTTTTTCATGTTGAATTATTATTACATTTTCATCTGTCCATCTGTCACTGTTTAAACAGGCACTCACTTTTAGAAAGATCTTATTAATCTTACAGTTTAAACTGGGGTGATTCAGGTATCTAGGGGGATAGATACAGAACTGGAGTTAATGCATAACTATTTGCAGAAACTTCTGTGAGACCCTCTGAGTTTT